GCCTCCTTGTGTAGAATCTCATTTTATTAACATTTTCAAGACCTCAATAATGAAAGCTTAAATTACATCTTCATGCTTTTCAGCCCATGTATGTATTTCTTTCATCACTACTGAACATCTTTGAAATGCTCTCCTCTCACTTTATGTGCTTCTCCTCACACTCTTCCTCAAATCTATCTATACCTCAAAATCTCAGAGGCTTGTCTTGTGGGCTATAGACAATCTCTACACTGCCAAATTTAGTGGACACTAAATTTTCTTTATCTTGCTCAACTGTTCTCTGACTGTTGAAAGTACTGATTAATATATTTTAAAATTCCACTATTTCTTGCCTTCTGGGACACCGACTGCTGACTTTCCAATTTTGCTGCCACTCTGTTGGGTTTGTTGGTGGGTTTTGCAGTGCTTGCGTCTCAAGTTTCCTCCTGCAAGAGTTTTCTTTTCGCTCTTCTAGCATGCTGTCTGGGTAATTTCATTATTTTTTGCATGACTCTGGATCTCTGATATGCTGACATACACTTCCCAACAATGTTCTTCACATTCTGATAAACCTTTAGAACAAATCGTGTTATGCTTACTTTTGTAATACTTGGAACTGACAGTTTTATCCCATGCCTGGAATTCATACCATGGAACAAGTATGAGTTGTGCTAAGTCTTCTAGTAACAAACAATTTGTAAAATACTTAAGCACCTACATTGTAGTTCTCAAGTCCATGTTAGAGAACTCTTGACAGAATGAGCCCAGTCTCAGTTGAATATGCATAGCGGACAACTAAATCCTAATTCTACGCATAATTACAAAATTCTAAGTAAAATATTAGCAACTTAAATTTAGCATTGTGTTGTTTTTATGCTTTGAGAGTATAACTAGAATAAATGACCTTATAAATAACTGCATATTAACCATTTGATAAAATTCAGTCTTCATTTTGAAGAAACTCAGGCTGGAAAATCAAACAGATCCGATTTAGAATTATAGATCATTAATGTGTTTTTCCATTTGGTTTTCAAATTTCACTATACATTAGGTTCAGATTTCCTTGAATTCCTGGTTCAAATGATGCATCACTTATATAGAGTATTCTTCTTTTCTGAAATTACACATTTAATAACTGCTCTCTTCAGTACACTGAAACCACCTTAAAGCTATGCATTGTTATTTTTATATCTTAGGTAACATGTTTTTTTGGTATGCATGATCAGTGATAGAGCCTGTGAAGCCCAGTGAAAAGTGAAAATAAGAATTCCTTTCACCAAAAATAATTGAGAATTTCTAGGTGGCAACAGTACATTATTAAACCAGGGAGGGACCATTCAAAGGCCAAGACCTTGTGCAGCCACATAAATTGTATGGTTCTAATATATATGTATGTGTGCATGCTAAAGTGTGTGTGTGTGTCTTGTATGTGGGTTTGTAACATGTTAAGTATTTTGATTAAAAATAGGGACAGGTGCCAATGGTTCACATGTTTAATCCTAGCTACTTAGGAGGCTGAGATCTGAGGATGGTTTAAAACCAGGAGGGCAGGAAAGGCTTTAAGACTCTTATTTCCATTTGATCACCCAAAAGCTGGAAGTGGAGCTGTGGCTCAAGTGATAGAGCACTAGCCTTGAGCACAAAAGCTTAGAGACAGCACTCAGGCCTTGAGTTCAGGCCCAGGCCCAGTAAAAAAAAAAATTAAAAATAACAATTAATTAAATAATAGCAACTTCAGCAAATATCCATGTATAAAAACAGAATTCAAATTTCAGATCATAGAAGTGGGTAAAATGATCATAATCAAGAAAATATTTTCAGGTTAATGATAATTATTTTGATTGATGAATGTAAAGCACTAAAATATTAAACTTCAACAGGTTTCTCTTTTGTTGACACCATGTTATTTTATTTCAATCTTTCTATTAAGCTACATTTACCATTCTGGTAATGTTTCTTCCATATTTATTGAACACAATCCATATATATATATATACATATACATACATATATATATATATATATATACACACTGCATTGTCTCTTTGGGGGCTTTTCTGCAGAATTCATTAATCTTATAATAATGAAGAACTAATCTATTTCTTTAATCCTAAATCATCAGTATTTTGAATACTTATTGAATGTTATTTGTGACATTGTAATTCTCAGTTGGCTATAGCAGCAACTAACAGCATTGAAGAGTTTTTTTCAATGTGATGTTAATTTTCTCATAGAATTCATTCATAATTTCATGCAGCTATGATGTGCCCATTTTCATATATCCAGAAACATTCTCAATGCTTCTGAATTTCTCTCACAAAGAGATTCTCCACATTTAGATACAATCTAAAAAGGAGTTTATATCCCATGCCTGAACTCTTCATCTTTCCAAAGTTTGCTTATGTACATGCTCCTATTCTGCCAGGCTTTCTGTGGTTGCATCAGAAGGGAAGACAGATTTCCTGTCTTGAATACTGTTGATGGATGGTTTTTAACTCTGCCCCCGTAAAGCTAACAACAGAAAAATAAAATAAAGTAACAAGTCCAAGCTATAAACAGTTAGCTGCCTACTTCTATCACTCTGTCTGTTTAGAGAATCTGTCTTTAACATAGTCATCCCAACCTTATCTCTGTCTACTTCTTACCTTCCCTGTCTAAATTGCAGTAAAATTTTTGGAAGTACTCGACTTTCCCCACTCCATTCTGTTTCCTAATTTCATCTATTTTCCTTATTCTTTTCCTCTTTCTTTCTATTTTCTTTCTGCTTTCACATAGATTCTTTTACACACATATCCCTCCATGCATTTTCATGTTATCATCTTCTCCCATCCTGCCACTCAGCAATACTGAATGCCAACCATGTGCTAGATACCTTCTACATGGAAGTAAGTTTGCCTGGGCATAAGGAAGAAAAGGCCAGTATGGTTGGATTATAGTGAACTTGATTGAAATGGGTACCAAGAGGGGAAAGGTGGCATTTATCCAAAAGAAGACAAACAAGGTTTCAGTAAAGCCATCAGCACAGCCATGTTCATTGCGGCACTATTCACCATATGAAATCAGTCCATATGCCCTTCAGTGGATGAATAACTCAAGAAAATGTGTTATAAGTAAACAATGGAATTTTACTCATCTATTAGAAAGAATATTATAACATTCACAAACAAAATGGAAACATTTGGAAAAAACAATACTAAGTGAAGTAAGCCAGATCCAGAAAAACAAAAGTTTCATGGCTTCCTTCATTTGTGGTAGCTGGATGGTGCCTATAAATCTATAGGTAAACACAATGGCTGGCACATGAGTGGTTACATATGGGTTAATTGAAGACTAATAGACCCTATGGAGAACTCAACAGTATAATCTTTTAGAAAGACTAGGTCAAAATCCAGCCAAATCCACACCAGGAAATGGGTACATCCAGTAGAAGTAGTGGGGCCAAGGGGAGAGGGGAAGATAAATGAAGGCAGAGAATGCAGTGAAAAACTCATTTTATATCCTGCAAAGGTTGGGTCAAAAGGGGATAAGAATGTTGAAGGGGATGAGAATGTTGAGAATGCTTTGTTATATGACGCCTCCTTTGTACAACTACCCAAAGATTTTGAAAGACAAAGAGAAAGACAGAAAGAGAGAGAGAGGGAGGGAGGAAAGGAGGAAAGGAGAAAGGAAAGGAAGGCAGGCAGGAAGGCAGAAAGGAAGGAATTTTTTTTTTTAAAGAAAGTTGACAGAACCCAGATCACACATGCTCTTGAGGACTTTTTACACAGTAGAGTGGCCAGATGCTGAGATGTATAATCAGCTATCTGGCTGCTCTGGAATTGTGGGAAAGCTGACAGATCCCTTAGGCAGTCTCCATAGCCACCTGGCAGGGATAACTGACAAAACTAGTCTCCAGATTGAAGCAAGATTTAAAAAGGAATCAATATGCAAATTGAAGGCTTGGGCCTCTTTGTCTTACTAATTTATTTTTCTCTTTTTCTCTCCCTCCTTCCTTTTGCCTCTTCACTGTTACATTATAACAGAATGAGGAGCTCTTCACCAGCTCCAAGTTCATTCCCCTTCAAGTGCCAATTCAGAGGTCATGAACTCCAGAAACCTTTCCTCAGGTCCTCACAGCAGGGCAAAGACACACCCACATGACATAACAGCCCTCCTGGCATCAAGTTCTTCATGACTGAGGTATTCCCTGGCTCTTCCAACACACAGACTCCAAGCATGGATTTTGGGAGTCAGACATTGGGGGCGTTTTTCCTAATTCTGCTAAGTGAACCTGGCATGTCATTTAAGGAAGTCTCTGTTCCCACAAATGTAAAGTGCAGACCAGAAAATGATCTGTTTCATCGGAAGTCTTGCCCGCGGCAATATATGCAAAATACTTCCTAAAATAATGGGCACAATGAAAATGCTAGATGAATGATAGCCATTGTTGTTACCTATGTAACAATGACTGGTTTGCATTATTCACCTGTCCTAAGAAGGGTTTATGCAGAGTATCAAAAGCCAAGCTAAAGTAGGAAACTCAGTCTTGGCGGCGGGCGGGGGAAAGGGAAGGATAATACCTCAGTAACACAGACAAAATGGAGAGCTTGATTTATTAGCCAAGTCACATAAAACACAATCCTAATATTATGATTAATGCCTATGTCTTCGACTGAACTTGAGGTTTGGTTCTCCAGACAGCACTTACCTAGTAGATTAGGTGGGACCACAGAGTTGTTTTTCTTTAAGATTCTACCTGAGCAGGTGCACGTACAGAAGATCCAGGGAAGAAACTGAGTAGAGAGGTTGGAGGGGCAGAGGGTGTGACCCTCTTAATCATTCCTCACTTCCTTTTTTTTTTTTAACAAGATGACTTGGCAGCGCCTGACACATCCGCGGCAGAAAGCGGCGACGCCTCCTTGGTGGCGTTTGCTTGGCATAGCCCCGCTTTTGCCCAGCACATTTGTGAACTTCCCTGGACATAGGAACAACTGATGGTTTGCACGCCCAGTCACTCAGTGTTGCCAAGGCGTCAAAGGATCATCTGAGAGAAAGAAAGAAAAAAAAAAGAACAAAGAAACATTGGCCTGAATCAGAAGACCAGCTGTTTACTTCTGTCAGTACTTTGAAATTTTGCACAGTTCCCTGGTCCTGTTCTCAGTTACAGGCGGCAGTGGCTCAGAGGATAAACCCAAAGGTTGAACCTGCAGACCAATCACAAAGTAGAAACTGAAAGTACACTGCAGGCTGATCCTACGGAAGTTATGGAAAAGACACAGCGCGGAGCCGGGCAGTGATGAGTGCCGCCCCTCCCGGGATGGATGCAAGCCGGCGCGGCGTGGGTGAAAGGAACCAGCTGCAGAGCCTGCCCTGCCCATCCCCGCTTGTGGCAATTCCTCGGAAGACCGGAGTCCTGGGAGTGATTATGGGTGGTGAGAGCTTGCTCCTGCTGCAGTTGCGGTCATCATGATTGCGCCCGCCTCCTGCAGACCATGTTCCATGGTAAGCGCTCCTCTCCCGGGCGCGCTGGTCGGCGCGCGCCTGGCACGCCCGGGAACTCCGGGAAGCGCTGTCCCCCCCACCCCCACCCCACTCCTGCGCCTAGGCACGTCCGGGAATCGCCGGGCCTTTGCACTTTGGACCTGCAGAGAGCACAGCCTCTCCCCTGGTCAGCCACTACCTGCGCCTGAGTACTGTGGCCCCTTAGCCGTTTGCGCCCGGCAGCGGGAAGCGTCCTGTAGGTGCAAGCCTGCAGGCAGCTCCCTTGGATGGAGTAATCAAGGGCTACCAACTTCAGTCCATCTGCGCGTCCCTAGCCAGGATCTCCCTCCACCCCCAGGGCGCCCAAGTCAGCCTCCCGGGCTCCTGGTCTGGCCAGGTTACTCACAGACAGCCAGGGTTCAGCGAGCAGCGGAGTCCTTGCAGCTCCGAACTTCCGAGAGAACTGAAAGCAAAGCTCCCCTGGGGACGCTCTTTTAAATCCCTCGGGGACAAGTCTCTGGAAAACCCCGTCTTTTCCCCTCTGCGAGGCTGGGAGTTTCCGACGGGGACTGTACCTTGCGCCTTTTGCTGGGAACCCGAGTCCAAGGGGTTTTCATTAAGAAAAGCCAGATTTTTTTAAAAATTATTCTTAACGAACATATTGGCTACTTGATGAAGGATTAAATAGGCCTGGGTCTAAATTCTGCAGACCCCGATGAGATCTTATATATTATGTCTTTGCTCAGAGTAACGGTTTAAAATGGACAGGCGCTAACTTGACATAAGCTGGATTTCATTGGTAACTATGTGGTCAATATAAAAAGTTAAAAATAATAATAATGCAAGAAGAAAATAGAGGAAAAAGAGATCTAAGAGGATCTGCTGCGGAAAATGGGGGGGGGGCGGGTTACGCTAGAACTTCCTCAAGAAACAGGGCAGTGGAAGAGGGCAACGTGTGCCTTCCTGGCTATTCAGATCCTGGCTATTCCCTCTCATAGGTAGCAAAGATCCCCAAACTGACAAAATGAAGGCGGAGTGCATGTGGCAGTACCCGATTACGGAAGCTTTGTAAGGAATATCCTCCAGGAGTTTAATGCAGAAATTCAGATTCCAGGCTATTCGGTTTTCCTTGTAACACGATTTTCCTGAAATTATTGCTTTTTGGTGCACTGCTGGTGAAAGCAAGGCCATGTACTTTTCATAAGGAGCTTTTATTTCCTGAAGTATATCTATATTAGTCAGGCATCATGAATTATCAATATACACAATATATTAAAACTCTAAACTGCTAATAATTATTGCTATATTTAGTATCTTTCATTTTTAGCCCAACAGATTTCTCCAAAAGCTTAAGTTCTGTCAAGGATGGCCATAGAATGTTTGTGCACTTTATCTTGGTGGGGGGAGCACATTGAAGTAGATGAAGACTCTCTGCGAGGTCCCCAACTGGGCTGTCTGGTGAGGCTAATTTCACTCTATATGAGGACCAAACAATATAATAGCAATAAAGAAAGAAAACTGAGAATGATTAGGAACATCGAATTAAAAAATGGCACCACATCTGTGTGTGGATATCTTAAAACCAGCAAGGATTTTCCATAAAATCAATTTATATCATATTCACATTTATTTTTAAGAGATTTTTTCCTCTCACCTGGAAATACAGGGTATGTAAATAAGGCCAGATACTATTTAGTGTCTTTTTTTTCTAAAAATAAGAGCCTATGATAACTTCATAACTCGGCCAGGAAGTATCTTCATGAGGTTGGTATAGAGGAAAATGGGTTTTTATATTTCCTTTGACACACACAAACACACATAGTTATTTCTATAGGAAGCAGTATATCTCAGTAACTAAAAGCCAAGATTCTAGACTCCTTATTCTGAGCAAACTATATATGAATTCTGGCTCTTCTTTACATACATAGTAACTTGGGGGAAAAGGTTCTTTGGGCCTCACGTTTTCCACCTGTAAGTTAGGGATAACTTGTAGCTAAGTGTAACATTGAGTAGCTATGGAATTAAATTCCCAGTAAAACTAGGTTTTATGTGATGGACATTCAGTAGAATGTCTTTTATCAGAAAAACTGATAAAAGACTAGATTTAGTGGATTTTAAAGACTAATTTATTTATGTTCACTTTGACCCCATAACTTAAGCAGCAGAGGAATGAATGTGTTATTTGGCTTAAATTAAAAACCAACAAGAATTTTTAAACAACAGCCACTCTAACCAAATTCCCCATTGAAAACAAATTCTCCAGTTTCAATCCCTTCAGGAGACTTAAAGACAATTCCACAAGCACATACTTGCCCTCAATTGTTGCTTATGGTTTTGTCTTTTCTATGACCTAATGGAAAGTCAGGGGGAGGAGAGAATTAGGAGTCTATGCAGTATGAAATAACACACACAGTAAAATTCAGTCCTTATCCCATTATGACCATTTCTATAGTACCTTCAATCCAGATAGTCTTAATATGTTTCTCTATATGTAGTATGGAAAAAAGCAATTACAGAGGAAAGTTCACCTCGTAAAGACAAGGTAGGGCCCTTTACATTATAGATTTGCTTATAGAATTGTCCCAGAGGCAGTTTAAAACCTAAATAGATTTTGTGGATAAGCAGTAAAATTCATAGAATTGAAGAATTTGAGAACTAAAGATTGCATTTAGAAATCAAGTAAATGAAGCTTGAAATTCTGCTGTTCAGTTACACAATTATGAATCATACCAAACACAACTTCCAAGTCTCCATCCTGCAAACCTGATTGCTTTGCATTGCCATAGCCTACATGAAGCTCACTTAGTAAACAACACTGGCAACAGAAGAATGCTGAAGAAGCAAAGTATGTTTGAGATTGAAATATTATGTACTACATAAAAAGACCATGAATTCTCCACTAACTCATCACAGGTTAAAATGAGAAATACTATCCAACATTACATTGAAATAAACTTGGGAAGCACTTATACATATTTTTTACTTATACATATTTTTAAATGATACTGGCATTTGAACTCAAGGCCTCATGCTTGCTAGAGAGGTACTCTCCCATTGAGCCATACCTCCAGGTCATAGGGAGCACGTATTTCTCAAAACTTGAATAGAGAAGACTCCAAAGGAATTGTTATTAAAACAAAACAAAAAAAAGAGATGATCTCTAAAATAACATAAATGGTAAAAACTATCTTACTTTCATCCCATTATTTAATTATATGTTCTATTCTCTACATTTCATCAAAGAATGTGTCCTGTAATATTTTTGGTTTTTTTCCTCCCAAAGTATAGCTTTAAGACACCACAAAGTGATGATTCTATAAAATCTATGTAGCTCGGAGGCAATTTGTCAATTAATCATCATTTAAGGATACAGATCTCCGGGGAAAGAATGGTAGTAGAAAAGAGTTAAAGCTGAATACTATTTGAGAATGGTTCATTCAAAAGATCAATATGATTATATGTTATAAACATATATACATGTGTGTGCATGCATGTGACAAGTGTTTGTCTCACATATGGAGATGAGAAGTGAGAATGTTTTCCCTATAACTTCTACCTAGCCTACTTTTTATAAAAGTTTATAAAGTTTATAAAAGTTTATAAAAATCTTGGTCATTTTTATGTTTAACAAAAACATGGGTCACCAAAGATCATAGTTGACTGTGTAGTGGTACTGATTTTCATATGATAGATCCTAATACAATTGATGACATCCTCATGTCCTTTATAATATCCTTAATATGCTTAAAGATATGGTCATAATAGTTGTTACTTGGGTTTGAAGAAGTGATGTTTGTACGTTTTGGGAAATCAAGATGTAAACTCAGAGCCTCGCAGTTACTCAGTTGATGCTCTACGTTTGAGCAATGCCTCGAGTCTCATATTGTTCCTGTTAATTAGAGATGGATTATAGCCTGTTCTGTGCAGTCTGGCCTTGAATGACAATCCTCACACCTCAGCCACCTGAGTAGATAGGACAGGAATAAGCCACAGGTGCTAAGCCTGTTCATACTTTCAATTAGAAAAGACTTGCATGTGAAATGTCTTCCCACTGAAAAGTGGGAGTATAAATAAAATTTATTTGGAAAGAGCACAGACCGTATATCGTCAACAGAACTCAGTTCACAGAAAGACACATTACTGGCTATTCATCTAGTATATATTGACTGCCCCAAATGATACAATATGCAATTTCATGTTTTTTGTGTGTGTGTTCCCATGCTAGGGCTTGAACTTGGGACCTTGGCACTGTCACTTAGCATTTTTACTCAAGTCTGGTGCTGTACCACTTGGGACACAGCTCCATTTCCAGCTTATTGAAAATAAGAATTTCATATACTTTCCTTTCCAGGCTGGTTCTCAGCTTCTTGAGTCACTAAGATTATAGGCATGAGCTACCAGTGCCCTGCAGTTTCATTCTTAATTTAACAACTGCCCCCATTTAGGAAGGGTTACCAAAAACAGACAAAAATCATTTATTTTTTTCTAACATGACAACAGGCTGAACAGAGGTGGAGTTAAACAGAATGTGGATTTGGGGACACATATAGAAAAGTGAAAAGATGAGAGCAATCCCAAGTACAACGTTGACTTTGCAAGAATTTGGGGAAGTAAATCCTTTATGGTGCATCATTGGAAAGACCATAATTCTATGGAGTAGACCTCCCACAGAACTGCCTCCAGGAAGGAACCAGATATTCCTTCAAGTGGACTATGGTTTTGTATAACATCATAAAATTTCAACAATGTGTAACTTTGAAAGCTGTGCAGTACCTCCTTACCTATTGAAATTTTTTTTCTTAAAGGGATGTTCAATATAAAATCAAATAAACGAACCCGCCAGTATCCCCTCATGTGTCTTTCTGGAGCATTCAATACACCTGTTCCTCATGTTCCTTAAGAGTAATTTCTATATAAAAAATGGGCAACAATGCTCAATAGGAAATGTACTCATTACCTTGCTCATGTAACTATAACCCCTCGGCACAGTATTTTTACAATAAAAAGTACAAAAAAAAGCGGATGAAACCTAAACACCAAGTTCTATTCTACTTTGTTACATAATTTCAAGGTTTTTTTTTTGTTGTTTTTTTGGGGGGGTCTGGTAGTGGGGCCTGAACTCTGGGCCTGGGTGCTGTCCCCCAGCTCTTCAGCTCAAGGCTAGCGCCTGAGTTCTTTAGCTCAAGGTGAGTGCTTTACTACTTAGACACAGCGCCACTTCCAGCTTTTTTCTTTTTGCTCATGTGGTGCTGAGGAATCGAACCCAGGGCCTCATGCATCCAAGGCAAGCACTCTACCACTGAGCCACCTTCCCAGCCCCCATAATTTCAAGTTTTTAAGGTTCTTCCTACACTATCCAAGAACAAAGCTGAACTTAAAAAATTATTAGAATAGGAGCTGAGAAGATGGCTCAGTAGTAGAGTGCTTGCCTTGTATGCATGAGACCCTGAGTTTGATTTCTCAGCACCACATATGCAGAAAAAGCTGGAAGTGGTGCTGTGTCTAAGTAGTAAAGCACTCACCTTGAGCTAAAGAACTCAGGGACAGTGCCCAGGCCCAGAATTCAGGCCCCATGACTGACACACACACACACACACACAAATATTAGAGTAAAATTTTTGGTCACTGTATCCAGTGGCCTCCACTTATAATCCCAGTTACTTAGGAATTACAGACAGAAAGAGCATGGTTTTGAGGCCAACCTGGGCAAAATGTTAGCAAGACCTCCACAGCAACAAACAAAAGGGACACAATGACACTCTTCTGTAATCTTAGTTACTCAGGAAGCATAGATAGGTAGGTGGATCATGGTCCCAGGCCAGCTGGGCAAAAAGTTAGCATCAACCCAAGGAATAAACAACTCGTAAAGGGGTGGAGATAAATCTGAAGTGGCAAAACACTCACTGAGAAAGCACAGGTCCTGAGCTCAACCATCAAATCCACAAGAAAAAAACACAGAGAAACAAATGATAAGCTTCTTGTAAAACTGCAATCAAATGTAACCACATAGAAAATTTAAGTCATTCTTATTGACTGTTGAATTTAGTTTCTTTTAGGTATATCTTTGGACTTCCTCCCTTGATCCTTGTTCTGTTGCCAGTAACTTCTTCTGATTGTCACATTAAAGACATAGACGGTAAAGCATTTGAGAACGTTATAATCATCAGCCTCGATAAATTGGTAGGTGTTTATTTTCTTTACATTTTTGGTTATGTGGAAATTGGAAATATACATTGGTTATGTTGGTTTTATTTGTGTGTGTGTCTGTGTGTGTGTCTGTGTGTGTGTGTTGGTCCTGGAGTCCTGGGGTTTGAACTCAGGCCTAGGCACTGTCTCTGAGCTTTTTTGCTCAAGCTAACATTCTACTTGAGCCACAGCTGTATTTCGGGCTTTTTGGTGGTTAATGGAGATAAAAATCTCATAGACTTTCCTGTCCAGATGGGCTTTGAACTACTATCCTTATATCTCAGCCTCCTGAGTAGCTAAGCTTACAGACATGAGCCACTGGTGCTCAGCAGGGTAAGTAGTTTTATAATCCATCATCCATCATCTGCATTTCTTCACAAGGATGAGAAATAGCTACAGAATACAATGTAATAAACTACCAACTGTGATTTATACTTGGCCTCATTTTGTCTTTCAAAAATGAACATTTCCTAAACCCTTAGACTCCCAATATCTACTTTAGACCCATTTCCCTTTACTACCACATTTTTACAGCACTACATGCATTTTCTTTTCATCCGCATACTGTGTTAGTCCTGCATATATATCCTTTAGGAGATGTACAATAACAAGAGTATTCTATCTAAATATTACGGTGCAAAGAAAGGTAGTTTTATCTTAATATGTGTCTGTATCTTTATAAGCATGTGCATATTTTTATTCTATACAGTATATAATTTTGTACACTAATTTACTGCAGCAAAAGTTTTTTAATAACTAGGTTTTATATTTAGAGCAAATTTACAGAAAAAATGAGCAAAGAGTAGAGAATTTCCATGTATCCCTCTTCTCTCTGCAAGATTTTCCCTATTAGCACTTTGCATTATCAGAGTGCATTTTTTGAAACGGATGGGCCAGTATTGATTCAATATTGTTAAACAAAGTTCATAGTTCACCTTACATTTCACACTGTTGTCCATTGTCATTGGTTTTGATGAGTCTAGAGTCTAAAGAGAGCCCAAGGTAAAATAAATTCATTCTTTAATTCTAATGGAAATAGAAGAATAGGTTTATACAAATTTGTAAGGTGCCTCGCTGTATATAGCTTTCCAAATATGGATGAGATACCTAGAATTAGAATGACTAAATTAGATTAATTATTTTAATGAAGTTCTGGATACAAATTACCAAATTACTCTTTTCTGAAGATGGATCTATTTGCAATTTTCACAGTAGTATATGAGATCATCTTCCTGTAAGTTTTGTAAAATTTTTACTTTGTTATTTTTAAAGTCATCTGCCAAGGCAACAGAAAAAAATATTCTATTTTTTGGTTTACATTTCTCTACATTTCTAGTGACATTGAATGTTTTAATTTTTGTTCTTCCATTATGTGTTGTTCATGAAGCTTCAGGGCATGGATGCTGTCCCTGAACTCTTTTGCTCAAGGCTAGCACTCTAATATTTTGAGTCACAGTTCCACTTCCAGTTTTTTAGTAGTTAATTGGAGATAAGGATCTCATGGGGATTTTGTTTGGACTGGCTTCAAACTGCAATCCTCAGATTTTAGCCTCCTAAGTAGTTAGGATTACAGGCATGAGCCACTGATGCCCAGCTGACTTAATTCTTTTAAAGAGCACAGCTCCGTGGCTTTTAGTATATTCCAAAGTAGCATAATCATTCATTATCACTTTCCAATTCCAAAATATTTTCATCACCCCTAAAGAAATTCTGTGCCCATTGGCATTAATTTTCCATTTCTCTTTACTTGTGATTGGCGAATTCATCTGCTGTGTGGACTTGCCTATTCTAAACATTTTAGTAAATGAAATCATACAATATGTAAACTTTTACACTGGCATTTTTGACATTTTATTCCTAAGGTTTGTCCATGTTATCATATGAATCAGTAGTTTATTTTCTTTATATTTTAATAAACAACTTATTTATTCATCAGTTGTTGGACATTTGAAGTTTGCACTTTGAGCTATTAAGAATTACATGGTTATGAACATTGGTATGGAAGTTTTCATGGAACATTGTTGAGTATATGCTTAGGAGAGAAATTGATGAATCATTTGAAAATTAGACTTATTGGTTTACAAATGAGTTTAAAAATGGTTTACAAATCTTCTAGATTTCTGTGAAAACTATGTAGATAATTTGTAGAACAGGACTGCTTTGGTGATTTCAGTTCCCTGGCAATTCACGGTGAACATTAAAATCAACTTAGCCACCATGATGTCAGCTGGGATGCTGAGTAGTTTTGTGCTGCATCTGTAGAAGAACTATAAGACTATAGTTTTCTTAAAATATTTAAAATTCTTCTGATCCATGAACACAGCATGGCTTCATGCTCATCCAGATTTCCTTTCATTTCTTTCAAGAATGTTTTGTCATCTTCAGACTATAAATTATATGACTCTCATTAAATTTATTTCTAAATATTTTACATGTGTGACACTATTACAAATGAAATTGACTACTTAATTTCATTCTTTAGGATAGCTAATGATTAATAACTGTAGTCCTTGAATAAATTCTATAACCATTTAGTTAAAACATCAACTGAAAATATCTACCCAGCTGTACCAAGCATACACAGCATGCACAATAGTAACTTTTGTGCTTCATTATTCTCTACCTTAGAACATTGTATTAGTCCCTCAATATTGAAAGCATGAACTGTCCTTGACACTTTTACTTCTTAACTTATACATCATCTAATTGTATAGCCTAGTATATTTCTTTAACACCTGGGTAAATCATTCATTCTTACTTCTATTACCAAGTCTTAGGGCAAATAGTCCTTAGATCTCCCTGGGATGATTTTTCAGAACTTTCAGTAGGCCCCTGACTCATTTTCTACTGAGTTCAGTTGTCCTCCAAAATGACACAGTTATTCTTCCCAAATTCAAATTGAATACTTTCTCCTCTTTAAAACTAAAAACAATTCTTCTTAATACTTTAATTTCTTCCTTACTTGATTTACCTATGGATTTTGGCCTTACACATGGATCGTTTGCTAACAGAAATGGCTGAAAAAGGATCAAATTCTAGTCAAGTATTATTTTAAAACTATGTCTAAATATACTATGTTTAAATCACTTTAGTTACCTTAAACTGCTTAAATTGACTACACTAAAAATTTTTATTATATCAAGCTAGACTACAGTGTAAAACACATTTCTTATCTATATAATAAAATACCATGATGGAATTATCTGCACATAAGCGAAATAAGTTGATTTTTAGGGGCTGAGACCTTTTGTTTTATGAATAAGTTTTAAGGTTTGAAAAATGAGAGGAGAATACACCAATCAAAAGATGTCAAAACTGAGTGATTTAAGAAAAAAGGAGCAACTGTGTTATGTGCAAGAAGGGATAGTTGGACAACAACAAGGAAGGAAGGGAAAGGTAACAATGTTTGACAAGTAATGTGCTCATTGCCTTCCTCACGTAACTGTAACCCCTCTGTACAGCATCTTAACAATAAAATAAAACAAAATAAGAAGCTCACTTTAAATATAAATCTACACACAAATAAATCAAAGTTGAATCAGGAGTATTTATTTCAGACAAAGCAGACTTCAGGGTAAAGATGATTATCACTGATAGAGAGGTATTGCATAATAAGATGATTAATTACCCTAGAGGTATTAGAATCCTCAGTGTACATGCACATTACACAAGAGCATCAAAATCAGAAAGGCAAACTCTGATAAATTACATAGAGAAATAATACCCTATTAAAGTTTTAAAATGTCAGTTTTCTTCTATCAATAATTAAATCTGAATTCATCAACCAGAAAATTAGTGAGGATATAATTAAAGTGAAAAGTGTTGTGAATCAATCTGATTTGATTTTATTTTCAATATAATTTACCCAACAAAACAATACAAGTTTTTCAAGATCACAGGAAATATTCACCAGCTCTGAACACATTCTGAGCCATAAAAACATCTTAAAATCTTGAAAAACTAAAGTCTTATATAATCTCAGGCTGGGATTATGGTTTAGTGGTAGAGTACTTGCCTAGCATGCATGAAGCCCTGGGTTCGATTCCTCAGTATCACATACACAGAAAAGCCAGAAGTGGCACTGTGGCACAAATGGTAGAGTGCTAGCCTTGAGCAAAAGAAACTCAGGTACAGTGCCCAGGCTCTGAGTTTAAGCCCCAGGACAAAAAAAAACACAAAACAAAACAAAACACATACATATATGTATATATGTTCTCAAATGAAAGCAATTATACAAGAAATAAATAAAACAAGACTGAGTGAAAACCTCAGAATGCCTGGAAAGCAAACAACATGAAACCTTAGATAATATATTAATCAAACACAAATTCCCAAAAACCTAACAGTATTTTGAACTGAATGAAATAAACATTATACTCAAGAATTAGCAGATTCAGTGAGAATGGTAATACATATATTAGGAAAGACATAAATCTAGGCTTCTGCCTTAGGAAAGTAAAAAGGTTAAAAATAAAGACTAAAATAATCTGAAGAAAAGAATTACAATTACAGATAAAATTGAAAACAATTATTCATTGCATATTTATATATTAATATGCAATTAATATATACTATATTATATAATAATATAGTATATAATAATGTATAATATATAATACGCAATTAATATATATAACATGTCTGTTCTTTCTCACTTGAACTGTAGATTCACTTCAATTCCAATCAATTCCAGACACTTATTCTCTGATATTTATAACTGGACTCAAAGTTAATGTAGAATATCAAAATAACCAATATAATACTGATGAACAAAAAACTGCTACTATATGATAATTTTTTATCAAGTAATGGTAATCAATCAGCAAAATGCTGATGAAAGAATAGCCAGATCAACAGAACTAAATCGTCCCCCAAAAGACACAAATCAATATGCTTAACCGACCTTTGACAATGGATCAAAGATGATACAGTGAAGAAAGTAAAGCTTTCCAAAAATGATGCTGAACCGATTGATTCCAAAGAAACAGAACAAA